AGATGACAAGCGTAACAGCATACGTGAGAGTCAAACAGAGAAACTGTAAACAAAACGACCATCGGTTTTATTGCTTCGACTTCCGCTTATTATATAAAACATTGGGTTTTATTTTAATTCTTGACGGTGAAATTCACAATTGGTTGATTATAAGCATCTCTATTCCACATTCGCGGAACCAAGTGAGCGCATAAAACAAATGCAGGTCTGTAATGTTAAAGTCGATGTAAATAAGCGTGCTACCCTTATGTTTCAACCGAGTTTTTCCTTTAACAAATTTTGTGTCTACCAAATTGGATTGGTTGGGGTGTAATACTAATAATAAGTGTTGCCTTTAATTTAATCAATAAAATAAATTGACTTCATTAATTTTTTTGAACCACCTCTTAAGAAAATCTAAAAAATATGAATGGAATGATAAATCACAAGTACAAACTCATCATATTTTTTGCATTTTAGATAGGATTTATTCAGCAAAATTTAAGGGTGACGTCATCAATTTTTTTAGGAGGGATGAACAAATACATTTTGAATAAAAGTTTACCATGCTTATAATAACTTTAAAATATTCCCAAGATTTCAAAGCATTCGGTTTTGTAATTCCTGATTAAATCGATAAAATAAATTCACGCATTCATTAATTTTTTTGAGTCACCCTGCATATGCAAATCCAAAAATATGAATGGAATGATAAATCACAAGTACAGACTCATCATATTTTGTACATTTTAGATACGATTTATTCGGCAAACTTTTGAGCCGACGTCATCAGTTTTTTGTAGAAGATAACCAAATATATTTTGACTAAAAATTTATTATGCTCTTTATAACCTTAAAACATCTGCAAGATTTCAAAGCATTCGGTTTTGTAGTTCCTGATTAAATCAATAAAATAAATTTACGCATTCATTAATTTTTTTGAGTCACCCTGTATATGCAAATCCAAAAAATATGACTGGAGTGATAAATGACAAGTACAGGCTCATCATATTTTGTACATTTTAGATATGATTTATTCAGCAAAATTTTGTGGTGACGTCATAAATTTTTTAGGGGGGACGACCAAATACATTTTGATCAAAAATTTACCATGCTTATGATAATTTTAAAATATCTTCAAGATTTCGAAGCATTCGGTTTTGTAGTTCCTGAGTAAATCAGTAAAATAAATTTACGCTTTCATTTATTTTTTTGAATCACCCTGTATATGCAAATCCAAAAAATATGAATGGAGTGATAGATCACAAGTACAGACTGATCATATTTTGTACATTTTAGATATGATTTATTCGGCAAACTTTCGAGCTGACGTCATCAAGTTTTTGGAGGGGATAAGCAAATATATTTTGACTAAACATTTATTATGCTCTTTATGACCTTAAAACATCTACAAGATTTCAGAGCATTCGGTTTTGTAGTTCCTGATTAAATCAATAAAATATATTTACGCATTCATTAATTTTTTTGAGTCACCCTGTATATGCAAATCCAAAAAATATGAATGGAGTGATAAATTACAAGTACAGACTCATCATATTTTTACAGTTTAGATAGGATTTATTCGGCAAACTTTCGAGCTGACGTCATCAATTTTTTGGAGGGGATAAGTAAATATATTTTGACTAAACATTTATTATGCTCTTTATAACCTTAAAACATCTGCAAGATTTCAAAGCATTCGGTTTTGTAGTTTCTGAGTAAATCAGTAAAATAAATTTACGCATTCATTAATTTTTTTGAGTCACCCTGTATATGCAACTCCAAAAAATATGAATGGAGTGATAGATCACAAGTACAGACTCATCATATTTTGTACATTTTAGATATGATTTATTCCACAAACTTTTGAGCTGACGTCATCAAGTTTTTGGAGGGGATAAGCAAATATTTTTTGACTAAAGATTTATGATGCTCTTTATAGCCTTAAAACATCTGCAACATTTCAAAGCATTCTGGTTAGCAGATTAAAAATTAAATTTCAAAATGTTGTTTTATAATTTTGATTTTTTTTTTCAAAAATCTGGACGTTTCGGGTGAAAAGTCGATTCGGAGTTGTAAACTACATGTGTAGGACTATGTTATTTTATACAATTGAAAACCCATTTACTATGTACAATTTTGAAGTGACGTCATCGCATTAGTGGTGGGGATGATTAGACAAATTTTGGTTAGCGTTTTACCATCTACATGATATTCTTAATATAAGTACAAAATTTCACAACAATCGGTCGAGTACTTTCGGAGATTATCTGTCTAATAAAAATCCGGGACGGCAGACGGACAGACGGACAGACGGACAGACGGACAGACGGACAGACGGACAGACGGACAGACGACAGACGGACAGACGGACGGACAGACGGACGGACAGACAGACGGAAATGGGAGACCTATTTCTTCGTCTTCTAGGGGTCATGAAAGATCGAGAAAACGTAAAAGTAGAGAGTCGGCCGACGGACTCGATTACAATACTTCCTTTGCTTACGCTCGGGAAGTAAAAAGTGACAAGACGTATTTATTGTTCTTTCAACAATTTACGATTTTTGTGTGGTTGAACAATCATCAGATTTATGACTAAAATCAAATCCAAACTGTACTATTAAATGTATCAAAGCACCCTTTATCATAGTACCAACCGAATTTAAAAATCTAGTGCTCATCTAAAATACCTACAGTAATAGAAATATACAGGGCTTTCAAAAATATTGGATATCTAATATTCCACGATTTCTTTAAATAAGTTGGCACTCCCTGTGTATTAATATGAAGTTCTAATTCGTCAAATTTCAAACTGATTGACAGTTTGTCGGTAGTACCAACTTACACACAAAGTGCATGGCCTACAAGTTATTAAACATCAATTTATGTATGCATATACACTTTTAACATAGGTATACGGCTTATACTTTTTAAAATATGTACTAGAACCATAGATTTCTAAATCTACATTCTGGAAGCGGCTACCTAACACACTTGTTTTATGTCATATGCAAAAATACTTGTCAAAGCCCTCACAGGTACTTAGAAAAATAAGATAAGTACCCTGAAACTATATATAAATTAAAACAAATTTTTCCGTTAATTTCTGATCTAACTTTTAGTTTATAGTGTACTGGTTGGTACTACAGGTGGTTAGCACTATATACTTTTGCCGTCTCAAACAATAACTAATAATAAACAAAAAATAAAGTTTATTTGGTATTTATGTTTTAAAATGCAGTTTACTGAATAATTAATTTTTTAAGAAACGAATTCTTTTTCAAATTCATCCGCGTAAAACAATTCGAAAAGTTGGTCCGCCCCCGGTTCTCCAAGAGGCGCGTGATAAATCTTGTCGATCTCACCAAAGGAAGTAATGTTTACTGTGATCGCATACCCACTCAGAGCACCATTAACAATAGTACCATCTGCATTTTAAAACCATTCCTGATAAATGGAGTCAGTTTCTTCATTTCGGACAACTTCGTACGATCCTCTGACAAAATCGATCGCTCCGCTAAAATGAAAATTTTTCTTCTTTTTTAATTTAATACAATGTCAAAACTTACACTGAGTACCTGACCTGAATGATAAACAATCCAGTTCTGGGAGAAACCTTAACATTCCATTGTTGATACTGTGCATAATATATACAAGGGTCATAATGTTCAAAACCTACGTCCCAACCACGGCTAGCTAGAACAAGTCGGGTTCCTCTATGTTGTATGTAGAACATTTTGTCAAGGCTGCTGCAGTCAGTCAGAACGAACCCAATGTTCATAGAAAGCCCCATAAACAAAATAATAATTAATCTAAAAATAAAATTATTATTAAAACGTCACCAATATCGCGAGATAATGCATTTTGAAAGACGCCATTTTAGTTTAGAAGAGTTCAAAATGGGATATATTTATCCCAAGATAGAATCAGAACTTATGACACTCATTCATAACTCGTCAAGACTTCAAGTGTGCTTTTTATTTGATGTATCAAGACGCATTTGTTGTGAGATTTTTATTATTGTTTTTTGTGTGGTTGATAAAAGTTATCTAATCCAAATTTTATTTTTACGATATGAAGCAATTACTCAGAACAATTTTCATTAAACGGTCTTTGCGTACTAAGAAAAATCCACTAAAGCCTCCACAAAAAAAAATCAGTACCAATAATTTTTTATTTTTACTTTCTTTCCTTTCTTATGGTTGTTATTGCCTTCTGCGCACTTTTTTCATTTAGTTCGACCTAGATAAAACACGACTAACATTGTATGAATTTTAACTTGAAATCAAAAAGAAAATTTCGTCATAAAATATTCGATTCATTGTATGATGAAATCAGAGACAGTACTTAAGAGCCTTATATAATAATAAAACAAACACTCAACATACATCAGATTAACGTCAAGATACTTCCGATCAGCTATCTGTCACAGAATGATAGATTACAATGGCAAGTGGCCATTGTTTGGATTAACTTAAGTGCTTGTGAACCTTTTTGTGATCTGACACTTCGTTGGCAGAGACTGGCGTCTGTAGTACAGGTTCAATGATCAAAAACGTGCAAGCTCACTGTACGTTAATAATGACGTCGTGTTACTAAAATTAGACAATAGAAAACCGGTAAATTTACAACTTTTTAACAAATTTTCGTTACTACAAACAAAACATTGCAGAATTTTGATATTTTTGTCGGTTGCTCAAAATTAAATGTTTTTTTTTTGTAATCTAGTTTGCTTTCAGCTTAAAGCGCATGAAATAACTACTAAAATAACGACATTATTTATAACAACTGCAGGTTTATTGACATTACAATTACAATATTCTCAACATAATAAAATAAAATCATGTTTCAACTCTGCGAAAATTCCAGCGAAAACTGTTCACTTTCAACATTCTCCTCTGTATGTGGAGTCAGCACTATGTAGCTTCCCGGGGTAAAATCGCCATTCCTTACACCCAAAGCATAATCTGGATAGGCACCACTGACAATAGCACCATCTGAATTAATGTAAAACTCTTGACTTTTCAAATCATTGAGTTCAGTCAAAGTTGCAACATAGAGACTCCCATTCTCAATGATGTCCAAAGCTAACCTAAAACGTTGCTCAAAATTAAACTATTCGACAACCCTGTATACCTACCCTGTGCTGTTACTAATAATATTGAAAGATGCAAGGGTCACACCAGGTTGAAAATGGAACCGTTGGCTAACCGACCGGTCTTAAAATTGCAGAGTTATAATGTTCAACACTTCATCAGCGACTAAAACCAACCCTGACTTGTGGCTTCTGATGACGATGTTTTGATCCAGATTGCCACAATCAGCAGCGGAAGTGGTGCTTGTGGCACCCAAAAGCAAAAGTGCCCAGAAACTAAAATTTTGGTTAAAATTTGCAAACGCTGTTAGCGTGGATACGTACGTTGTAACTTGAAGCTGCATCGTTGGCTTTGTCAGATACTGTATCAATAGTCAGCGTTGTTCATTTGTTACTTATATAGCCACTTGTCATTAAAAGTAAAGTGGTCAAGATTTTATCTGTCGTTTGGATTGATTCTGATGCAATTTCTTGTGACTACTTCGAATTTCGGAAAAATAAAAACACAAATCACAATGTAAGTCCACTTATTGAAATGGAACGATCTGACGCAATTCTCAGTCAAAAGAGTTATGACTGTTATGAGTACTAGATAACACTGGCTATATATTAGAGATACAATTATCACTTGTGTTTATTTTCGAGTTGTAGCACTTTGAATGAAAATGATTCATTCTAAGGTGGTTTTTCTATTCTCTGTAGTTTTATGTACAACGGTTGTCACCGTGCTGAGTGACTGCAGCTCTTTAGATCAGTACTTCTACATCAGGAATAAGGTTTCTGGTTTGGTGTTAGACGCAAGTGACAATAAAGGCATCAGGATTCAGCCTTATAACAGTTCTGCACGATATCAGCAATTCAGGATAAAACCTGCTAGTAGGACTGGATTGTTTAATATCATCAATACCTATACAGAGTAAGTTGAATCTTTCGCAGTTCACTTAATCAAGACAGTACTTTTACAGGAGGGCACTAGGTTATCTTCCGGTAGGTGAGCATGGTTACTACAATGAAGTCAATTTTACTTTGATATGGTTTGAAAGCAGCGTTTATCAAGAATTTTTTATCAATGGTGATGGCACTATTATGAATGGAGGTTTCTATAATTACGGTATAATGGTTGACCAGAACCCATTTTACGCAGGCAATTTTGTCTACATAGCATCTGGTGAGAATTTTGGAGAAGATCAACAATTCGAGTTGACTAATGGAGGTCCCTTATAGTGGACAAAATGCACTTAAATACAGAAGTTGTATTATATTTATATTTGGTATTTAAAATCCTGTATTAACATTAAATAAATATAAGATTATTTTGATAGGTTAGAGTTAAGTTCATAATACACACAACATGCAAATATACAAAGATAACACAGAATATGACGAACACCTTAATAGGTTGATGAAGGTAAATCTTCCCATATTTTAAATTCCTGGTTTATGCTTCCGTTATTTTGAGAAACAATAAGCGGGGTTCCATATTTAAGATGTCCATTTTCGAAATGTCGATATCTGAGAGTAAGAGCCAAGTTGGTACCTACATTAATAATATGATGATCTTGTGTCAAGTACCACAACTGCGTAGGAAACCCATTTCTTGAACTCATGATAACGGAATTAGTTCTTCTATGAACGTCCATTACTTCTCTAAATAGTTTAAGCAATGTTATTGAAAATGTATAGATACTTTATGTCAGATATATTACCCTGTTGGTTCACTAACTAGGTGGAACGGTCCATGTTTGTTGATGCCTTGAATATGGAAGAGCGAGAAGGCTTTCCCATGGCTGTATATTTGCAACTGAACTTGTGATGAATCACGAGTATGTAGAGCCACAGTTTTATCATGCAGGGGACGAATGGTATAAACTTCGTTTGGGTAATAATGGGTGCCGGTGGCCATTATTGCAACAATATTTATTGCAATGAGAGAAAGCAAATACATCGAGAAGCTAAAATTAGAATGTTTTATAAAAAAATTAAAAAAAGTTATGTTTTGAAACTTACCTTTTAGGTGCCATTTTTGTTGTGTTCTTAGAAGTGTATTCGGAACAATACTGCTACAGTTTTTCTGTGGTGGGTTTATATACGAACAAATTAATCTTGATCAATGCCATCAGTGGATTTTTAAAGATTTTGTGAGATTGAATTAAATTTATGACCCAACGCCGAAACTAGATTAGAATTTTTATCCAAACTGTAGAACAGGTTATGGACAAGGCTTTGAAAAATATCCAGGAATTTGAAACAATAGATGTACAGATTTGATAATTTATTTCAGGTTCAAAAAATCTTCTTGAATTGAAAGTACATACATGGTACTAATATGATTCGGTACTAATCTCTGGTGCTCGAGAACAATTAGTTGGATCACAAAATTTTCTATCTTCTTAATAATATATATATATATATAACCCCGTACTTAATCATTTAACAAATTTTGTGTAGGTGATTCGATTATAATCCTGTCGAGTGATATTTTTATCAATGCCTACTATCTGCTAACTCTTTAACTAATCACCTCCATAAATATTTGACCTAATAAATTCAATTTTACAAATTTTTGACCATGAGGCCGCAATCAAGATAACACAATATTGATTAAAGGAATATTTTTATTTTATGAAAACATAAACTAGAAATATTCGTAAAAGATGAAGAATTCTTGCCTGTGGAACATATTTATAGAAACATTTCTCCACTTGGAAAGTGAAGTTCAAAGAAAAAGCGATTTAATGTGAGATTATGAAGTTCGTTGAAGAAAGAAGTCATTTGGAAACGAGAATCTTTTTAGTCAGCTTTTAGAAAAATAGTTTTTTATGACCCAGGTAGGAAATTATTGAATTTGGAAAAAGAAAACAAGGTTGTAGAGTTTTTCATTAAGAAGAAGTGCCATTCTAGCGTACTAGAATCAGACAAAACAGATTCGCTATCAACAAAGAAATAAGAACCAGAAGTTTCCTCAAAATTATACAATATTTGGAAATTGAATCAACTTATTAGAAGAATCATCGAGAAGAAACGAAGAAAAATTTAAAAATAATAACTGAAGCTGACTAAAGACGTACGTTCGAAGTTCTAGAAATTTTCGCCACAAAAATCATCGTAAGAAGCCAGAAAGGATCAAGAAGTTAAAAAAAAAAAACAGGAAAATAATTTCCGATGAAACAGGCAACTACAGTATAGAGATCATCAAAAATTAAGAAATGCTTCAGAATATTTTTACAAATAAAAAGAAGAGGTAGAATGTGCTTGAATCAAAGCTAAGAAAATTTTAAAATATTTTCCTTTATGATGTGTGTAGAACATTTTGTCAAGGCTACTGCAGTCGCTCAGAACGTCCCCAATATTCACAGAGAGTTCCACAAACACACTAATTAACCTAAAAATAAAAGTATTAGTAAGATATCACCAATATCTCGAGATAATACATTTTGAAAGATGCCATTTTAGTTAAGAAGTGCGGAATCACTTCAAAACTTGATCTATTTATACTCAGAATCAGAATTTATGACACTCATTCATAACTCATCAAGATTTCAAGTGTGCTTTTTATGTGATGTTTCAATACCTATCGTTTTATTGCATACGCTTAGAGCTAGACGCATTTGTTGTGAGATTTTTATTATTGTTTTTTGTGTGGTTGATAAAAGTTATCTAATCCAAATTTTACTTTTACATTTTGATGCAATTACTCAGCGTAATGTTCATTAAACGGTCTCTACGTGCTAAGAGAACTCGATTAAAGCCTCCATAAAAAATTTCAATATCAATCATTTTTTACTCTTACTTTCTTTGTTTTCTTATGGTTGTGTCCTAAAATGTTCGATTCATTGTATGATGAAATCAGAGACAGTACTTAAGAGTCTTATTTAATAAAAAAACAAACATCCATTAAACACCAGATTAAAGTCAACCAGGTACTTCCGATCACAAGGATTCTGATTTAGTTTTGGACGTAAGTGAAAATAAAGGCATCTGGATTCAACCTTATAACAGTTCTGCAAGAAACTTCAGGATAAAACCTTCTGATCATGTCAAACCTTTGTCCGTCATAATTATTAACAAGGCACTTAAAACAAGTACATTCCCGGACCTTTGGAAAATTGCAAGAATCAGTCCTATTTTTAAAAAGGGTGATCCATCTTTACTAGCGAATTATCGTCCTATTTCCATTCTAAGCAATTTTGCCAAAGTTTTTCAACAGGCATTATATAGTTGCATTTACAATAATACTCGTTCGCATATCAGTTTAGGACAGCATGGATTCAGAACTGGTAGATCTACATCTACAAACCTTGCAGTGCTTGTTCAAGATCTAAGTGTTGCACTTGATAAACGAGAACAAATAGACGTAATATATACTGACTTTTCCCGAGCTTTTGATGTTCTTCCTCACGACATTCTGTTAGGCAAACTTAATAACTTTGGATTTAACTATCCCCTTCTCAAACTGATGGAATCTTACTTAATAAACCGTAACAACTATGTAGATATTTTACAATGGTTTTACCTCTTTTCGTTTTTTGTCAAGGTCTGTAGTCCCACAAGGCCCTAACCTTGGGCCTCTCCTTTTCAGTCTATTTATCAATGACCTTTTGGAATCTTTAAATTGCAGTATTTTAGCTTATGGTGATAATTAATCTGAAAATTTATTCTAAAACCTCAAGTCTTTATGATGCTGAGCTTTTACAACGTGAACTTATGAAAATCGTGGAATGGTGCTATCAAAATAGATTTATTATTAATATTAGTAAATGTTGCTACATTTCATATTGTCGAAAACATAATATCGTTGATTTTTCTTATTCAATAGAAGGTACACCGTTAGAACGAAAAACATCGATCAAAGATCTAGGAGTTACTTTTGATAACTGCTTGACTTTTGATATTCATCTTACCAACATTTGCAATGCTGCAAATAAATCTTTGGGGTTTGTCATGAGAACTTCAAAATTTTTCAACAATATTGACGTAATTAAATCCTTCTTCTTTGCATATGTTCTTTCGAAATTAGAGTATGCCTCACTAATATGGTATCCCATACATATGTGTCAGCACATGCTTCTTGATAAAGTGCACAGGAAATTTTTGAAATTCCTTTCGTTCAAAATTGATGGTAATTATCCGGCCAGAGGTATTGAGATGGAAAGTCTTCTCCAACGACACAGGATGTCCTCTTTGATGCTCCGAAGGGATCTGCATGCGGCTAACTTCTTGTGTAAGCTTATTCACAACAAGATTGATTGCCCATATTTATTATCACAGATTATATTTAATGTCCCTCGGCTGCATCGAGATATGTTAACACCTTTCCTATCTCCACCGCCCGAACTAATATCCTTCGTCGTTTGCCAA